GGCAACCCCGCCAAGAAGAAGCGGAAACGGTGCGGGGTGTGCGTGCCCTGCAAGCGGCTCATCAACTGTGGAGTCTGCAGCAGTTGCAGGAACCGCAAAACGGGACACCAGATCTGCAAGTTTAGGAAATGCGAAGAGCTTAAGAAAAAGCCGGGCACGTCGCTAGAGGTCAGAGGCGATGATTTCTTTTTCCCCAGCCTCCCGCCGTCCCTCCTGAACCCCCTGCCCCCGCCCCTGCAGTGCTTCTTGTCTAGCTTCAAGATGCAGCATCCCTTTTCCGAGGCCTCCTTCAGGCTGTGAGGCGGCCCCGCTGCACCGCAGCCGCCCACCCGCCGGCCCGCCCCGAGGGACCGCTGCCTCTCCTCTCACTCCAGCCTGCTCTTTTTTTTATTAATTGCTGTTATCATTACTACTATTTTTTTTTCTCCTGATGCTCAGGGGGGCCGGGGAGGTAGCTCCAGCAGTCRCAGGTGCAGGGGGGGAGGCGGGGGCCTCCTGGGGCCACGCAGAGCGGAGGAGGACACCGGGCCACAGAGCCCCATAGTTGGTGGGACGTGTGGTGAAGTTAACCTTTTTCTTTCCTTTGGCAATATATTTTACGAAGTAAACCCTGCTTATGGTGTATAAAGTACAATGGAAAAAAAATAGCACAGGTATGACTGAACTCATTTCTGACTGAACTGTATATAYGTTTATTTTTTACAATGTGTCCTCGGAACTGACAATGTATTGAATATCGCAAAGATGTAAAGACAGGTTTTCAAGTGTGCTAGACATGCAGAAGACAGGCAGGTGTGATGTTACGGAAATCTTGGTTGATGTATCCAGTACGACAGACAATGGAAACAAAAATACACAAATACAAGTGAAACGGCTATTGGTTGATGTCTTCAGGCGAAGGAAACAAGCACGAGGAAAGACTAGCAATCATACTTAATCCCTTGTCATTATTAAAATTATAGTGTTGCTGGTTAGATGCACATATCAGACRTGTCGGAAGGTGTTGAGGATGATGGATTTAGTACAGAGGAGTAGCATATCCTGGGTGACATCCAGATTTGTAGTCACAGAAATTAGCAACTAAGTGAGAAATTACAACTTCCCTCTGTGTGCGTGCGTGTGTGTTGTGGTTTGCTTCCCAACTCATTGCTCGCAGGAGTGGTCTCTCCCTAAGAAGAGGTGGGGTGAGGGGTTCAAGGGCATAAAGCATGGAGAAGAACCCACTAATTTGTTTAGCGTTAAATAAATAGAAGTAACGGCATTGATATTGATGCTGCCATGGGACCGAAGCAGTGTTGGGGGTTTTGGTCGATATCTGACTGATACCGTTAACCATTCTGTAGYCAGCCTCATCAGGATGCCTAATTGCTTCCCCCTTGCACAAGTGAACTGTCCTTGCAGAAAGTTTCCTTTGTAGCTCGCTCTTTCTTACTCCATCTTCCCAGCTGTTTTTTTGTGAACATCCAATGAGCCAGCATCACTAATGCAGCAGCCAGGATGGACTCCCCAGGTGCTAGAAACGAGATTGCTTTTTAACTGTTGCTTTCGTCAGGGATAGACCACTGTTGGTTTTGTAGGAAGCTTGCAGAGAATATATAGAATATAATGATGGATCTTAATAGTGAAAGCCTGGGAGGAACTACTCGAACAGGGGGTTGTGGCAAATCCCCCTCAGCACCGCGTGGTGTAGCGGGGTGGCTCCCTTCGGTGCACAAAGTCCTCTTGTTGGGCTCGGAAGCCAGGATGCTGCTGTGATTTAATGCTTATGATAAACGATAGATCCTGATGGATTATCGATCTGTGCAGAAAGTGAGCTATCTCTGGAAGAAACTAATTTATATGTTATCAGATCTTTCTGTGAGTTCCCGTGCCTCCCTGAGAGCATTTCCAGAACTCCTTCGCTCCTGGCAGAGGTGCTCTGCAGCCTTAAAAACTGCTCASGCATGTTATGAGAGTGCCGCCCATTAAAACTGTTTAACCATTGTGACTAGTAAAACTGTAGTTTTATTAACCACTGGTGTACTCTCATAAGCACCTGCCTTTGCTGCTTTTCATCCTTTTTTCCCCTCCCCCTTCTTTGTGCCCTGCCAGCTAGTTAAGCAGGGAACCTCCTGTGTGCTGTGCTGTGGCTGGAGGCGGCGGGTCCTTTCCYGTGGCAGACACCGCGTGCGGCGGTGCTTCCCCACAGCCTGCGCCTGCTCCCAAAGTACCTCAGGGCGGGTGGCTAACGTCTTTGCAGGCGTGTTATTTGCTGCTAGGAATGGAAGAGTTCCCAAACTGAGCAACTTTCCACAAGAGTCCTTTTTTTTTTTTTTTTTTTTTTTTCCTTTTTTTTTTTTTTTTTTTTTTTTTTTTTTTTTTTTTTCTTTTTTTCTTATTCCTTCTCATTTTTCTCGCTCCCTCTCTTTTTAATTAAATAATGAGGAGTGACAGCGCGACTGCCCAGAGCACCGGCGCGCTGGCAGCAAGGCAGCCAGCAGGGAGGGACAGGCCCCACAGGGCCGGGCAGCTGCAGGTGCGTGAGAGCCGCCTCCGCYGAACCTGCCTCACAGGCCTGGGCGATCTGCCCAGCTCCACAGGTGATCCCGCCTGCTCCTGGGAAGTGCAGCAGGGGTGGTGGTGCCCACGGATCAGCGGATTTCTGTATGTCCTGGGAATTGTGCTCTGCACTGGCGATGCATTGTGGAAACTGTTGAAGGCAGGAGGTGAAACTGTGTTTGCAAACAAAATAAACATCAAGAGAATAATAAAAGGTCAACTGGTTGATCCCACCAAAATCATTTCTCTCTTTTTCCTTTCCAATCTGTTCCTCTGCTGGTGCAATGAAGGCATGTGATATAACCTTCAAGGTTAGTACCTCAAGTTTAAGACAGATTGACAGCAATGCTTTAAGTTCCTGACCTTTACCTTTTTAATGGAAAGCTTCCCTCACAGCATTCTTTTTAAACACTCAGATTTTTTTTCCTATTTTTCTTGTAATATTTTCACCTTAAAAGTGTCCCCATGCTCTAGTATTTTCCATAGAATGTTATTATTACTAGGAAATTTTATGTACAGTAATAATAAATCCATAAAAATAAGATTGACGTCACATTGCACGCTGCCTGCTTGTGTATGTATATTCTGTGTTCGTTCGGATTTACAGTTGGTTTAAAGAGACATAATCTTTATTCACCCATAGAGACCACTTATTTTCCCCTGATTGGTGTACATGTTGGTAACTTTGGCAGCAGGTTGCAAAGATCAGGAACCTAACCTTACTTTCCATCCGTCTCTCTGAAGCAAGGCATCCCCATTCTATGCGCTTGTGCGGATTTCAGTTGCCCCCYGTCTGCCTTCCACTAGGATGGCAGTGAGAACAGGCAGAGGGGCTGGCTCGGGTGGGCAAGGTCTGAAGGATTCAGCCCTCATGTGAGATATCCCGTGATGTTTGGGCACGCTCTCAGTGCCACTTGCTTTATTTGTAACTGCCTGGCTAATTAGCGCGTATGCTATTAAAGTAAACATTTGTATACCCAACTGAAACAGTAAATAGCAACAGCCAAATCCGAGGCACCTCACCGAGCTTTGCTTCGAGTCAGCGGGAGTTGGAGATCGCCTTCGCCGGGGATGGGCGGTGATGATTGATTTCAGCAGCAACGGCGTCTGATCCTGCAAATCTTAGCACCATATGGCATTGCCACGAGGGAGAGGGGCCATGCTGGCAACCGCAGAGCGTGCGCTTCGTGTTTCGGTAGTGCGCACGGACGCTGTTAGGGGAGCACCGCTGAGCTCTGTGGATAAGGGTCAATTAGTCGGGGCCTCTGAGGAAGCAATTTCCCTTCCGCCTCTCTAGCTGTGAATTACATGCATAAGTTAAGCGGCTGCAGGGTGGAATTGAGTAGCATGAGGAGCTTCGGAAGAAGCTGATAAGGAGCAGGCAGCTAACCCGATGCAGGTGGCCGCCGCGGGGTCAGAAGACGGACCATGCTGTTGGCCCGCATCCGCTTTGCTGGTCCTCACTGACCCGCATCTTTACAGCAGCGCTCCCAGCCTCCTGCTGCTGCCTTGGAGCTCCCGAATGGTGTGAGGGTCCCTGTGCGCTGCACACTGTAGGAGCAGGCGGAAAGGCCCTGCCTGCCCCCCTGGCTTTCTGAGCCGAAGCAAGAACAAGCCGGCTGCTCCCGGGGCTTCCGGTTGGCTCTCCGCTAGAAAGCTCCAATTGGTCCCGAATGCCCTTTTCTTCCTTCTCCTCATGTGTGCCCGTGCCTCGCTGCCAGGATGCTCTTGTTTGTCTGTTTCCAGGTAAAGAGGGAGGCTCTCAGGCGCGAGCTGTTGGTTGCTCCTGGCGCATGCGTGTGGGGACTGTGTCGGGCTGTCTCTCTGGGTTGGCACTCCGCGCACGTTCTTGGCGTGACGGTACTGGCGCTGAGCGGAGGAGACAAGAGGCAGGGAGAGATTTGACTTTCGTTGAGCATTCATGACAGTTTGTCACGTTCATCCAGGCTTCTGCCTGCCTGGAGTAAACATACATTCAGCAGCACATTTTCCTTTTGACCCTGGAGATTTTGGGGGACAACGTGTAACACAAAGGCTACTTCTCCCACCAGCTGCAGATGTGTTTGCTCACCATGTCCTGAGTGCCATAGCTTGGAAATGTGTTTGAAGTTGGCTTGAACTTCTGCTGTAGGATCAAATCCCGTAAGGAAGGAATGTCTTCATCTCACAGTGAAGTTGGTGGGTGGGAGACACGGGGCTGAGGAAGATGCTGAGAGGCCTCTGGAGCTCGGGTTTTACTCCCCCCCTAGCAGTTCTGGTGCATTACGGAGTGAGGAAATCCAGGCAGCTGCCAGGCTGAGAAGCCTAGCGCGGCTCTGAAGCAGATCTGGGTGTAATCTGTGTTACTATTTCATGTTTTGGTGTTCCTTCTCTTCATGTGATATTTAAAATGCAAGAAGACTGCCACAAGCATAGTGTCTATGTTCCAGCGAGAATGTACGTTATATAAACTACTGTTTGATACAGTGCAGTGGCATTTGTATTTTGTGAAAGTAGGACAAATTCACATCTTTTCTTGAAATGAAGCTTCTCTGACATAAAGAAGTCTCRTAGTGGTGTGATTCGGTACTGAACTGAACCAAATTTTAAGGATTTCAGGGAAAATTATAGAGTAGTCAAGGGTTTTAACA